CCCCCACACACACCCCATAAACACCACACCCACAACCTCCCTTACACACACCCACACCCCCTACTCCCCCTACAAACGCCACACCCACCAACACACACACATTTTTCACCCCCCACACCCCACACCCCCCCACATACCCCTCACACACGATATGCAATAGTAAGACTTTATTTTGAGCTATTATGCAATCACCTCTATATCTATACTACACAAACAAATGTAAATCAGGGCAAAATATATTTTTTAATAAATAAAAATATTATAGTAGATATTTGATTTTTAGTATATGATTGGGTTTTTTTCCAGTTCCAAGATGGCAACCCCCCTCACTCCCCCAAAAGAGAGGCGAGGGGAGGTGCAGTCATTTTTTCATAGCTCAGTGAGGCTCACTATGACAAAGTTTGAGAACCTCTGATCTAGATGAAAAGTGCTGAATCATTTAAGATTGCTGCAAAATGAATTTAGCGAGTGTGGCTGGGATTTTAGACTCCCAAATCCCCTAGGCATTGCTGAAAAAAAACCCTGCTCTGCCATTACTACCCTGAATCTACAGAAAACTGAAATGTTGGTGAAACAAGCAGCATAGGCATTGACTCAGTTCTAGATAAATGCCAAATTTTGCGTCAATATACAGCACATTCACTATGTTCAGGGCTCAAAGATAAATCGATCCCTTAGTTTTAAATGGATTTATTATTTTTATCCCTGTTGCAGGATTCCATCCATACCAAACTCTGAGGATGCTTGGAGTAAGAGAGAGGCAAAGTGGTTTCAGTTTTTTAAATGCATCTGTGCTTTTGTTGATGATAAACTGTAAGAAGTTTAAGTCTAGTAAGACCCTTTATGTGCTCAGTGTATAGCTGTCAGCTGCCCAAGCACCATGTGATGTTTTTCCTAACATTTCCCTGAGGAAACGTAAATTTATAGTGTGTGCATGTTAGGACAGCCAACACATTTCTAATCCCAGTATGAACAAGAATGAAAAGAGTAATGTACAGGTATCCAGGTATTTGACAAGCCTGCTTGAAAGGCTTGTGCTGTCTATCTAATCATCCTTTTTTATTTGGGCTTTCATCTCAGCTGGAGAATCTTATGTTGGATAAAGATGGACACATAAAAATAACAGACTTCGGGCTCTGTAAAGAAGGTATAAAGGATGGAGCAACAATGAAAACTTTCTGCGGCACTCCAGAATATCTTGCCCCAGAGGTATCTTTATTTTGGTTGTTATAACAAACTGTGTTCTTTAAATTAACACCATTCTTGAGCATTGTTTTAGTGCAGGAAGGCCTCAACCTGTGAAACTGTTTTACCTTTGGCCCGGGTGAATGCACAAAGTGAAGGCTTTTTGTGGTAGTAAAATAAGGCACAACTAGAGTAGTTTCTTTTATGAAAAAATAATGCTAGGGGAGCATGTTCTGTTTTGGTCCACTGATGGCTCTTGTCCTTGCTGATTGCTCCTGCCTGCTTCTCTTCCTTCGAGGCAGTGACATGGGGGCTGCCGTATGCTCCTGTTTCCAGCTGTTTTCCTGTTTTTCTTCATAAAGGATAAGGCTGTCTGTTCCTATGAAGAACTCAGGCACCTGTCAAAGTAGGCTGGAGCCAGCCCCATCCTGCTTGCTCTGCTCTGAAGGAGTCACCAGAAGCTCCTTAGTGAATCCAGGTTGTAGTCTGTGGACCACCATTTGAGAACTGGTGATGGGAAAAGGGATTAATAACACAGCAAGGAGAACTTGTTCACAAATATGACTCCTGGTTGGCAGGATCTTTTTTAAAAAGCAATGTTAAGCTGCAGCCTCTCATTGAGGATTTTGTGGCGTGATGTAAAAAATACCAGAATTATTTTTTTCCCCCCCACCACAGACTGTCTGAGGGGAAACCCACACAGGGTAGTTACTTAGCTGTTTTGGTCACCTAATCACTAGTACTTTCCTCTCAGTATTTATAATGAACTGGCTCAGTCGCAACCCAGAAGGGCAAATCCCTGTAACTGCCTTACTTGCAGATCTGTACTGTGAGTTGGAGTGTTTAAATCCTGAAGGCTTGCGTCATCTGGTTGACAGCATGTGAAAAATCTGGGAATTGTGTATAAGCAAGTATTGTATGTTTTAAGGTCATGCATCCTTGAAAGTAGGGGTGTCTTTCTTGTCATCTCTATTTGTAACTTGAATCCAACATAGAAGCATGTTTGTACAGTTGCTGCATAGTTGTTTTTAGGTTCATATTGGAATCTCGTGCATGGTTGGTAGTGACTGAACCACTCCAGCTTTGATGTGTCAGATATATCGACGGCTGTGGTGTTTACAGCTGTTGCGCCTTCTCTTATAAATTCCATCTCACAGCTGTTTGTTATGAATTGACCATCCATATAATTTAAGTTAAATGACCTTGTTACCTTGCTGCTTCCCAGTTATCAGGCATTTTGCAATAAATCATGGGCATGTAATGCCTTTTCCTGCTGCTTATCTAGTTTTCCCCTCCTTGGCTGCAAACATACTTCAAGTTACAGTAACACCATTGTCCTGTTCCATACATACATGAATTCAGTGTTTGGGAGAGGCATTTTTCCTTTTTGCTGCTTGTGTTACTGATGTAGCGAAGGCAGAAGATGCAAAATTCTAGTAAATAATCTGAATATGAAATATAATCATTTAACATGTTGGCTTGGCCAAATTTATCACTTGAAGTTTATTTTGTGTAGTAGAAAATGTGATTTGTTTGTTTGTTTGTTTGTTTTGTTGCTAGCACTTGTATCATATACCAGCAACCTGCCATAGGCTTGGCTTTTTCGTTTCTTTTTGTTTCTAATCCATTCTATCATATCTCTCACATCAGTTTCAAAATGTGAAGGCAGTGTGTCTAATTTATTTTCAGTAACCCAAGTGGGTTAGTGTGAACAGGAAGCCCTTATTGAAAGGGTGTGACTCAGAAGTATGGCTAAGTGCATTGTCACACAATATCTAGTACGAAGTTAGAGCCCATGATTCCTCATAAAGGATGAGGCTGGCTCCTGGAATCCTGGCAGACAAGCAGCTGTGTTGGTCTTATACATATATGGGGCAGCTGTAGAACCAGCTGTCGTTTGGTGTGAATCATACGGCAAGAGAGGCTGTAAATAGACCTGTGTGGGGTAATCTAATACCTGACAGCCTTTGGATTTTTACAGCAGGCCTTTTTCCTGGTCCAGATAATTTTTAAGGCAGAGTCCTAAATAATTCCTGCCAAAGAGAAAGGGAACAAAGTTAAAAAGAAGCTCTTTGAATGAATTATATAAGAATCTGTGAATAAACTTAGAAAGGGCCAGGTCCTGTCTTATTAAAAACCCGTGGCAAAACCTCTGCTGACTTCAGCCGGTTCTTTGGTCCCAAATCCCTCTGAAGTCTCCTATTTTTGCATATAAATGATTCCAAACTGTAGCTTTGTAAAGTGAGCAGCCATGAACGCTGTATGACAATAAAGAACAAACTTCAGAAGTTTCATTTCTTGCTACTAATAGGTGGTTTAAATGCAGACTTTTTGGAAGAGTAAAGATATTGTGTCCAGAATATAGAAGTAAAACCTGTGGCTAGAATTAAGGAAAAGACATTTGCAATAGAAGGTTTTTTCCCCCTGATAATTAAAAAGGCAGTTGTTTCTTTCCTTGACATCTTTGTGTTCAGTAAGAAAAAGCTGCACATCAAAAAGATTTCAGGCTGTCTACGAGTGCAGAGCATCTGAAAATCTGGAGAGTAGATTTTCAGAAGTTCAGCTCTCCTTGAAGATATCGAAATAAAAGCCAGATTTGCAACAGAATGTTCAAAGCTGAGCTGTTTGAAATCTCTGGCCCTTAAAGTTAAATTCAGCTGGGTAATTCTTTTACGATGCACAGACAGTCTTTCTTGCACTGCAACCTAACTTCTTTTTTTTGTATGAGAAAGCTTAAAGAAAATGTACAAGTCAACATGGAGACAGAACAAATATGATTGTAGCTTTGAAGCGACAGGTTAATAATCAGCTGCTTCTCTCCCCAAATGGCATCTTGTTTTTAAAATGGGATCCCATTTGGAACGGTTTCTAATGAATAAGTTAGGATTTAACAGCTGGCTTTGTAATGTGAGAGCAGACTTGGGTTCTCAGCCTCTAGGCTTTAGAAGGTTATGCTTATCATGGAAGTAATGTGCGGGGGGACGGGAGGGGGAGAGTGCCACAGCATGTTTGCTCTCTAGCTTTTTTTTTTTCAGTCTTCTTTGCCTAGAGCGTTCCCTGTTGATAAATCATTGGTGAGCATTGGTGTCAGTTGTTTGCAAAGGGATCTCCAGAAGGTATGCCGTGCCTGTGGACACAGTTGGGAAATACGGAAACATGAATATAAAGTACAGGTCCTGTTGTGTGAATGTTCTGTGTGTTCCCAGTGTACAACCATGTGTTAAACCTGTTCTGTACATTTTTTTTTTTTTTTTGCAGGTGCTGGAAGATAATGATTATGGTCGTGCAGTGGACTGGTGGGGCTTAGGAGTTGTAATGTATGAAATGATGTGTGGCCGCCTGCCTTTCTACAATCAGGACCATGAGAAGCTCTTTGAACTCATCCTCATGGAGGAGATTAGATTTCCACGCACTTTGTCACCTGAAGCAAAATCTCTTCTGTCAGGTTTGCTAAAGAAAGATCCTAAGCAGAGGTGAGACACTTATTTAAAATCTTTGTTTTAATTTCTTTACTCTGCTAGCTGATAGCGAGGGATCCAGGTTTTCTGTTTCCTATGGGAAAACAGAGAAAATCATGGTTTTTACCTTTTACCAGGGGCAAACACGGATTTCTTATTTTACTGGAGAAACCTGCAGATTTTGCAGTTTTGCAAAGAGCGCTCTGGCTGGCAGATTTCCAGCTTGCAAGGGGCTAGAGGGAGCTGGAGCAGCGCTGTCAGGCAGGGGGGGCACCATGTGCATGTATATGCACGTGGCCACCAGGCAGCCTGGAGAGCAGCTCCCGCAGGTAAGTGGAGGGGTGGGAATTGAGGCCCCCATAGAGAGGGAGGGAGTTGGGCAGGGCTGGGGCTGCTGCCCAGCCAGGCAGTGCTAGGGGCCTGGGGCCACAATGTGTGGCTGCAGGGCCCCGGTGGGGAGCGGGACAGGCTGTGGGCAGCTTGGTCAGGGGGTGGGGTTGGCTCCCCGGCTCTGCATGCCCTGCGGGGGGCAGAGGGGACCCATGCCCCACAGATCTGTGCACAGGGTGGGGGTGAGCTGCCTGCTGTGGGATTGTGCTCCCGCCCTACTGCCCTCCCCAGGGGCCTTCGCAGCCCGGCGGGGTGCAACCCAGTTCTGCAGGTCAGAGCGGGGCCGCGCATGAAAGCAGCTTGCTGCTGCAAGCTCCACGCTGCCCTGGCAAGTCATCCCCTGTGTGTGGGGCTGCAGTGAGGGACACAACCCCTGCGGCTGCTGCGCACCTAGTGGACATGTCACCAGGGCAGTGCAGGGCTCACAGTGATAAGCAGCTTTCCTGCATGGCCCCACTCTGCTCTGCAGCACTGGGTTGCACCTGTTGAGATGCGGAGGAGGCCCCAGGGGAGGGCAGCAGGGTGGGAGCCCAAGCCTGTAGCGGGCAGCCCCCACCCGCCTCTGCTCCCATCCCACACACGGATCTTGGGGGCATGGGTCCCCTGTGCCCCCTGCAGAGTGCATGCAGCAGCAGAGAGCCGGACCTACCCCTGATCCTGCAGCAGGCAGGCAGCACGGGGTGGGAGGGAGGAGCTGGGTTCTGCTCTGCTGCAGCAGCCACCACCTCCAGCAGGGGGCTGTGGACCTCTGTCCCTGGCCCCATGGCCCTGGCAGCTGGGGGCCCCCTCTGGCACGGGGCTGGGGGTGGGGAGTGAGGGGCACCAGCAGGGCTAGGGGAGGCTGTGGAGGATGAGTGAGGGTCCTTTCATTTTAATCATGGATTTTGGGGGGTTTACCAGAGAACTTGCGAGCGATTGATTGATTGATTTATCGGGGAAAACCAGGATCCCTGCTGATAGGTCTGGCTTCATTTCTTTTGTTGGATTCACTACATAAAAACAGTAATATTAATGATACCACAACCTTCTTAAAGTCACCAATGTGCAAAAGTACATAAATAAAACAGGAAATCATCTAAGAAATTCCGAAAAATATGTTTTATCTCCAGCACTCCCTTGTGAAAGACTCGTACAAAATGTCAGCAGAAAATAATAAAACTGGGCCTACACGAAGTGCTGTTTAAGGGGCAAATTAGACAAAGGACTGGGGAAGAATGTTGTCCTTTCTCATTTAAAATCAGAAAGAATTTTAAGATTTTTAAAACACTACAAAATTGTCAGCAACTAAGAATAGCTGCAAGATCCAATGAACAAATATCTTCTTTGTTTTAGAAGTTGCCAGACTGGCACTACAATAAGCAACAAAAACCGAAAACATACTAGAGGATCAGAACTTCAATATATGCAGTCCCACTAGTTCATGACTATAACCTAGGAAAAAAACAAACAGGTTACCAGCTTTTGTTCACAAGGAACATATGCTGACTGTTGCAGGTTGTAAACGTCTCTTGAATGACTGCTTCAATTTTTTGTACTGGTTCTAACTTCTGTTTTCTGTTTTTAGCTCCATACTGAAACATTTGACTGTTATCAGTGTAGGTCCATAGCTTATCAGGCAGGGTTGGTATATTCGCCATCTGCTTTCCCTGTTCCTTTAAGTTTTTTAATAGCCCAAAGTGAATGTACACAGTACAACAGGTAGGAAACTTTACAGGGTCAAAGAGGATCTCTGATCTTTCCACAGAGAGAGACATTAATTTAAGCCAGTTGCCTTATTACCAGCACCATAATGCTAACATAGAATGGGCAAAGTTCTTATAGCTTTTCAAGGGGTAAAACCTAGTGTGTGCTAATGTTGTGAGCGGGAGCTTACCGTGTCCTATAGGGTTGTTGTCCTGTGTCCTAAAGTTGTTCCTAAACTTACATGAGATGGGAACAACTTTAATCCCTCTTGAGCTGGGTGGGATTCAGGCCAGTGACCTACAAGTGATTCCATAGCTCTTTAGCAGCACGTTTCTGTATTCAGTCCTGTAAAACACTAATGGGTTGGCTTTGCAGAAAGCTTAGTTAAATCAAGGCACGACCTTTTCTTAGTGTATTCAGGTAGAGGTTTCCATTCTTGGGAAATACAGGGAAGGTTGCCTTTACAGCTTTCCCAGTCTCCCATAACCTGTTTGTTAAGGGACAGCTCTGGTTAATCAGAATGCAAACAGCTAACAGCAAACCAGATAGAATCATAGAAAATTAAGGTTGGAAGGGGCCTCAGGAGGTCATCTAGTACAACCTCCTGCTCAAAGCAGGACCATCCCCAACTATATTGTGCCAGCCAAGACTTTGTCTAGCTGGCTCTTAAAAACCTCCAAGGATGGAGATTCCACAGCCTCCCTGGGTAACCTGTTCCAGTGTTTTACTACCCTCCTAGTGAGAGAGTTTTTCTTAATATCTAACTTAAACTTCCCATGCTGCAACTTAAGACCATTGCTCCTTGTTCTGTCATCTGCCACCCCTGAGAACAGTCCAGCTCCATCCTCTTTGGAACCACTCTTCAGGTAGTTGAAGGCTGCTATTAAATATAAAAATACTAGTACAGCCTTCAAATTCACTTTTAAATATAGAATTGTGTACTGTAAACGGATTTCAACAACTGTTCCCTGATCTTTCTGTTCATATTTACACAAATGCATGCTCTTGCATTCATATGGGAAACAGCATAGAATTTGAAACCTTCAGATCCACAACACAGACCTCTTCCACTTCAGCTGCAGAAATAGCTGTGAGAGGAGAAAAATGCTCTCGCCCTCTGTGGACCAACCCATGCCAGAAGAGATTGCATATGCACTGCTATTACTTTACACATGCATTAGAAACAGATGTAGAATAGTGACCATCAGAATTTCTGCCTTGTCTTCATTGCTCTAGATTGAAGCAGACTGTTGCATGGTGGTTAGAGAGCTTAGATGATTGTAACAGTAGCTCTTACAGGGGTAACTTTGGGGACCTGAACCTAGAACCTCCAAGTGAAAATATGTGAGTGCACATTACCTGAGCAAAGAGTGTAAGAGAGAGACAGAGAGAAATCAAGGGTGCCAAACTCATTAGACCTCACTGGCCCCAAGTACCAGATTGGGTCCACAGACTGGCCCTGTGAGCCAGCATCAGCATGCATCAACTCCGAGACCCATGAGCAGCATCACGATTCTGATGATAGGGTTCTCACCTACAGGCCATATTTTTGACACCCTTATATATATGGAGTCAAGCTGCTAGAGGGTGATGCAGAGTTGCACTGGATTAATGCAGGTTACTGAAGCAACTTATCATATTTTTCCTCAAAAGCTGTGCAAGAAAGTAGCCAAGACTTGGATCCCTACCTCAAGTGACCATGAGCCCGTTCCCAGTTAAATTATGACCTTGTACCAGTTCCCAGTTACATTATTAGCCAAATGGGTGCATGCTAGTTGCCTTAATGATAGTGGGAAACCTTGTTTAATAGCACGGATTGTGAGAAGCATCAAGGTACTCACAGCAGTAAGGGGAAGAACTGGGCCTACAACTCGGGTATTCTTGCCCTGCCATTTCATGCCGGGATCCCCCGAAGTCATGTGATGGCAAGTCATGCGATTGTCAGAACTTTGCATCTGCACTAGGTGCCAAAACTGATTTTGCTGCCTTGACTTGCTGCTAGTGAGTGGGAGAGAACGAAGGAGGAAATGGGAAAGGAAATCGAACCCTAAGGCTTCCTCCCTGCACAATAAAATATATTTTTTTCTTTTTAATGAAGAAATACCGAAGCATTGTGCACGGGGATGTTAAGTTAAATGAATGGCTACAAGTGACTCTTGGACTGCTATCAGGGAATTTAATGTTACAAATAACCTGTCTCACCTCAGCTGGTAATGTCTGAGAAACGTTAGCATTTACTTTCAGTAAAAGCAGTTGTGCTCCAAACTCACAGGCATGTGGGGAAAATATGAGGAAAGATAATTGCACTCAGACTTTAATCAATCACAACCCCCCTCTCCTTTTATAAGAGTAAAGGAATTTTGAGGTTTCTTTAGGGATTCATATAAACGTATTAATCTTGGAATGTGAACCTTAATTTTCCTGAGAAGAAAAAGAGCTGTTCTATAAACGTTTCTTCTCTGCTGCCTTGTGATACAGCTCGGGTTAAGGGAGACAAAAATCCTTATATGTTTTTACAGTTGAAAGAGCAAAGTTTCCCAAGTACCTTATTATTCTTTCTTTCACTCTAGAGATTGTAACTGGTAAGAATTGAATGAGTCAGGGTGCTCTATATGAACAGGGTGGCTTTTTCTTTACAGCATATGTGCAGTCCAGCGGCAAGTTTCCCACAAACTCAAATGAATCTCAGCCCTGCTGAATTTAGATTTGCAAGTGCCAAGATTTCTCTTATTCATGGATTCAACCCTTTTTGTCACTCCATACTCCAATGTTTCCATTCCCCCATCCCACCCAATATCGGGGTGTCAGAAATATGGCCCATGGGTGGGAACCCAATCACTTTGGTTGTTTGTGTTCTCTGTTATGTTCCTTACTCTGAGAAGGTCAGTTTACCACAGGATTTCTTCCTTTTCTTTCTTTGGTCCTTTCTGGCCTTTGCCAAC